AAAAGAAAAGAAAAAAAAGCAAGCCCCTTGCAGCCAGATGCAAAGGTCAATCTTCAGTTCCAGCATGTTTTATAAATAGAGGCAGCTCTTCAGGGGGCTGGCCCCTGTAGGAAACAGCCTCTGGCTCTGCCTCTGCTAAATTTGGTCTGGAGTCACGTGATTTCCTTAGGTGCCTGGTTCCTTAAAGTGGCTTTCAAATTCTCTAAGATGCCCTTTAATATTGTGCGTGTATGTGATGTGTGTGTGTTATTAAAAAATAGCAATGAGGCATGTGTATATATGTACATAATACATATGTGTGTGATTACATGTGTAAAGAATAATTGTTTTTCTGTGTTAGAGATGGAATGGATCCCGGCTTTGTGTGTGCTAGACAAGTGCTATTGCACGGAGCCACCCCCACACACCCCAGTTCCTACAGGAGAAGTTTTTGTATATGAATTTGTATAGAATTAATTTTTTTTTTAGATTAATTATTAATGTGTGCTTGACTGTAGAAAACTGAGTTCACAGTGAAGAACACTCAGGTGCGAGGAGGGTACGTGCTACACATAGGCACCATCTATGGCAGCCTGAAAGTGGGCGATCAGGTCCGGCTGTTCATTGATGAGGTGAGTTGCACAGCTCCAGGCAGTAATCGCCTCCTGTGTTAGCCTTCCCTTGCCTGTCAGGTGCAATCAAATGGAGAAAAGATCTATTTTGGCTTGTGGTTTCAGTCTGTGGTCATCTGGTTCCAAAGCAGAAGTGATACAGCAGGAGTGGTGTAGGAGAGCTGCTTCACCCATTGCAGCCCAGAAACAGAAAGCAGCAGAGAGCAAGGAGCCATGAGCAGGAAGCTGCTCCTCAGTGGCCTACTCCATCCAGGCAGGCCTCACCCCTGATAGCACTTCCATCTATGAACTCACCTGTGGGATACTTTTTCTTTTTTGAGACATGGTCTTATTTGTAGTTGAAGCTGGCCTTCAGTTCACTATGTAGCCCATGCTGACCTCAAACTTAAGGCAGTACTCCTGCCTCTGCCTTCCCAGTGCTAGGGATCGTAGGTGTGTGCCACCATACCCAGGTTTTGGAGGATGTTTGGTCCAAATCCTAATACCTCTTCATTTGGCTTTATTTAATTTTATTTTTTTCTATATTTTTAGGGAAGGGTTTACAGGGTGTTCAGGGTCTCACTAGATAGATTGGACTCATAATGATCTGCCTTTTTACAGCTTCCCAAGAGATGGAATTACAGGTGTGCCACCACACCCAGTCACAATTGCCATCTCAGCGCGCCCCAGGGGCAGGGCCAGCATGGCAGCCCAGGGAATCGAACCCCCAGTCCCTGTGCCTGCTTACAGGTGCTTTTAATCCGTTAGAGCTATTTGGCCAGCCCTTCCTTTGGCTTTAAATTGGCTCATCATTATCCTTCTTGAGTGAGATTATAAATAGAGTGCTATAGGAAATTTTGGTGCTTTTTT